ACAACAGCAAAACAAGAGACACAGCAGTAGCAGTCTTAGCAGCACCAGAAGCAGCAGTAGTAGCAGGAGCAGCTGGTATTCGGGTGATTAAATAGTTCTCATAGCCTTTTTGCTGTTCTCTGACTGCTCCCTGGTGTAATTTCCATGTCCAAGAAGGAAGCTGCATTTTAACGGTGTGCTGAACAGAGGTTTGAATCATTCCAGCTGGCTGCTTGTTTTGAAAAGGACAGTATGTGTATAAATAAAATGTGACTGTGCTGGAAGAGTTCACTGACTTGGGGCTGGAGCAAGAGGAGCCTTCCTGGAATGTAGTTAGCACTGTTAGTATGAACTGAAAACTCTCACTATCTTATCTGAGCCGAGTGAAGAAATTTGAATAGTGGATGTCTCTTTCCCACACACTGGACAAACTTAAGTGAAAAGAAAAAAGAAGAAATTCTTCCATAGGTAAGTTATCATTCAGTTTGTGCACATGTTAGTTCATGGATCTCTATATCTGTCAAATTAATATATACATAAATTACCTATAATTATGTACCTATGTACAATATGTCTACAGGTATACTATATTCGTATGAAGTATGTACAGAAAAAATATTCAGCAAACATGTTTAAACAGCTTTTATCTAGAATTGAAAGAATTAATATGTTCATTTCTGAGGTTTTCTCTGCATGCATGTAAGCACCAGCGTTGTATATGGATGTGTGTCTGCTGAATTGAGAATAGATACCCACTTCAGTGTGTGAGGATACAGAACTTGGAATGCTAGATTAGTTATCAGGATGTTAGGATGAAACAAAGACAGTCTTCTTGAAGTTGATCTGCATTCTTTGCTTGCATCTGGTAGTACACAATATGCAAAGTTCAGCAAAATTAACAAAAATGGCAATATGACACTTCCCCAGGTCAATACACCCAAAGTGTAGTGTTTAAAGTATTTATTAGAGTAAGTAATATAATTTAAAAAAAAAAGATCTGCAGATCTGTTCTATTCCAGTAGTCAGGTATTGAAATAATATCTGTCTACTATATTTAAAACAGCATGGTCATTCATTGTTTGCAAGTTATAACAGGCAAGAGAAACCACCAAAAATATTTCAGGAATAAATGCCTAGTGCTACAGTGTTAAACCATATAGAGGACAGTACAGCATCTTTATCTTTCAATCAACACAATGGCTCCAAGTCATTGCTGCTGTGAATAAGCACTCAAAGGAGAATTGTTCACAAAAGTGAACAAGTCTCTTCTTTCCCACTGTGAGTCAATGTAACCAAATAAGAGTTGCAATCATTGTAATATATATTTGTCCTTATTTATTAAATTTACTAGATTACAAATTTAGGGTCCAATTTTGCAACACTTAATCACATTAATGGGACAACTCACAAAGTGAGTTTCTAATAAAAATCTATTTGCAGAGTAAATTATTATTCGTGAATAAGCATGGAAGAATATGCCCTTTAATGAACAATAGACTATTTTTCCTTTATTAAAAAAAAACCAGCAGTGATTAATTTCAGGTCAGATTTTAAAATCCTTTTTTTGCAGTGAAACTATTTATGGTGTAAGATGTAGCTCAGTGTAAGGAAGGATATCAGAATCAGTCCCTTTGCAAAGTTTAAATGGTTAGTAATGTTTCCATGTGCTTCTCTTATCTTGCCCTTGCACATCTGCACTTTCTAACTTGCTTCCTCAAATCTTGCTCTAAACAAAAGCTGATTCTAGAGAAGAGAAAACAAGACCTAGCCAACTTTCACTTAACTCCATGAGAAGGTTTTTGGCTTACAAATGGCTTCTGAACCTTACCAGTGAACCAGTCTAATTTTCTTGATTTGATTTGTTCTATAGTCTATGTAAAAGCTTTGAAGATTGTGTATTGATATTCTGTGCCACATTTAAGACATTTTTCTTAATTTGGCAACCAATTCCTAATGTGTGCTGCACTTCAGAAAGCAAATCAGTCACATCTCAATGCCAAATTAGAATTACCTGGTCATATTCTGCAAGGCTATAGACTAGCTTTTCTTTATATGGCTTATGTGACTGGAATAAAACAAAGCCAGATAAGTAGATTTAAATATAGATAGGAATGGTTGAGTCACAAACCACTTGCATATAATTAACTTCAATTTGTATCCAAATTAAACATTAGCACATGCTACAAACTGCCAACTCCCCTTAAGACTTAATGGATCTCTAGAGATTGTGATACCTGCTATATTGTTCTGTGTAACAGCACAGAACATACCTTGCGAGATTGGTGGTATTTCGGGAATCATGTAATACTGTATTGGGCTGTGCTAGAGTTCAGCTTTCATTCTGAATGAGTAAAAGACAAAATATGCTAATACTGAAGACCATTTATTGCAAATGTGTATTATAAGAATCATCATCTCAATGATCCATTATAAAGAAAACATGCTCACAATAGCAAACCCATAATAATAAATTTCCAAAAAAGGACTGATGAAAGGTACTAGTAAACACTGTCCATCCATTTAAGTTATATAAAAGCAAAACCTCTGATTTGAAGACTGTAAACCAACAATGATTTCTTGTTTATTTTATTTTCTTTGATTTTGCATCTCTGCAAAAATTAAGTGTAGAAGAAATTTCTTGGCCATGAATATGAGAGAAAAGACAACCAAGAATATCTTCAGTTTGACACAAGAATGATTTTCAATGCATCTACTTCTTTATATATGTGACTATAAGGTGTCCCCCTTGCAGTTCATGTGCTGCATTCTTCCTTCTTCTCACTTACCTTTGGAAAGAGAGTTCAGTTTCTTTGACCTGTTCTATGTTTTCTGAACATGTAAAATTAATCTTTTGAACAGCAAAATCTGCAAAAGATTTCAAGCCTCATTGTGGATGGGTTAAAGAAAGAGGTAATTCAGAATTCTGCTCAAACCTGAAAAGATAACTTTTTGTAGTCCCTGGGCCCATATAAAGGACAGGACATTGAACTAAATGAGAGTTGAGGGTGTTCACCACCCTATAAGATCAGCTACTTTCTTTTTAACTCACTCTGTAATTATTTAAGAGAAGTTACAGGTGTCTAATTTAACTCCCAAATCTGGGAAGAAGTTGCAGAACCTCAGACAATAAAGCCAGCATATTAGTGTTTGGATAGGAGCCAGAACTAAGTCTGTGCTACAGAAAACAATGATTTTTGTGTGTGCTGGGATTAATTTAGAATATTAAGTAAAAGATTCCTAGCCTATCTGATAATATCTGAAGAATTCTTATGTCATAGTGCAAACCTTGTTTTCTACTAATCGGGTGTTAAAGTTTTAATACTACTTTAATAGTCTTTCATAAAAGTGTCTCATTTTATACAGGGAAAGTCAGACAGAAAAATGCTACTCATAAAAAGGAAGAGTAAAAGTTTTATTTTTTTTAATATCAGCATTTAAGTTAGAGTCATAGTTGGCCTATAAAAATAGGCTGGTAGAAGAAACTGAAAATCATATACATCAAACAAAACCATTTTCTACCACTACAATAGATAATAACAATTATAATAAACTAGAAGATTTACCTGATATTGCTTGGGTACTTAACTCACTTAATTCTTGTTTTTTGGAAAGTAAAATGAAAAAGTACACACTTGATTTAAATCAGTGCTCTGGGGTTGAACTGGAGATGAGGGGGTTCAGTATGCAGGCTGCTCTTGGGGGGAAAGGACTATTCCAGCCCTGTCCCACTGCAGCAGCTTGGGGCCAGGTGAGAAGTGCCTCTCCATGGATATGTCTACACTAGCTCATTAATTCGAGCTAGGTAGACAAATGAGATGACCAGAGTTGCAAATGAAGCCCGGGATTTAAATATCCCGGGCTTTATTTGCATGGTCCCGTCCGGTTGCCATTTTGAAATTTCAGTAGCCTGAACTCACTGCCGCGCAGCTACACAGTTCTTACAGTTTAGGAAGAGTTCTTGAATGGACACAGACAAACTCTCTCAAATACATAGTAGATGGTAGATAGTTCCTCTCAAATTAAAAATTGCTAAAGGAAATGACTACTAAGAGTGTGTTTTAATACTTGTGCTACCAAAATTACATCCTCAGAGTGCAGTACTGTAGAATACATGTTACTATTTGACCAAACAAACAAGCATGCTGGGACCAAAAGTAAACTATTGTGATGGGGTGGTTTGTTTGGCTAGTGAGAAGGAATGGGTTAAATCTGGAAGACCACAGGTGCTTTTCTCAAGGTCAGGGATTCTCAGGGCTAGCTGAGGTGAAAGAATTAATTCACCCAGAACATTATGGAGGCATCTCCACAGCAGCGTTATTTTGGAACAAGGGCCGTTATTCCAAAATAACAATGCAAGCTTCTACACAGCAATTCCGTTATTTTGAAATAAATTTGAAATAATGGATTTCTGATTCTGACTTCTGTAAACCTCATTCTATGAGGAATAATGCCTCTTCCAAAACTGCTATTTTGAAATAGCTATAGTATAGACACTCCACTGCTGCTATTTTGAAATAGCTCCTCCCCAGGGCCAGTCAAAGTAATTACTTCCTAGTGCTTATTGGGACTCTAAATTGAGGTAGTGCATCCACAAAAGAGGAGCCTGTCTCGGACTAATTGTAAGGCTTCCCTGTAGTGTAGATGCTCTATTCTGAAATAATCAATTCTAGAGTATTTCGTCCAGGGTATCTTATTCCAAAATAAGTGTGCAGTGTAGACATACCCCATCAGAGTGAAGTGCTGTAGGGAGCCAAGAGTCAAGTTTGACAGCAGGAGTCAGGGAGGATGGGTTTATGTTCAGGAATAGGCTTAGAAATGAGGGGAAATCTAGAAACCTTCCTTTTCCTTTTCCTTTTTGGAACTTGCCTAAAGTGAGAAACAAATTTAGAATTTCAGACTTAACTTGTCTAAGGGAATCCCTATTATGGGGTTTTTAGAAAATGGGTTTCTCTATAATTTAGTAGTTCTGAATATCTAAAAATGTTCCAGGCATTAAAAAAATGGCATTTATTCTCACTCTTTCTGGGTCATACTTGCTCTATTTTACCCCAACATATGTAGCTGCCACCTCATTTTTTCTTCTTTTTGCTCTTTTAGGTTATTTATGAATGCCAAATAGGCAGGTCAAGGCAATCAGCAATCTGAAACTGGAACATATAAATTGGCTGCTGTTTTGTTCTGATCCACAAAATAATAATATTACTAATACACAATTACATGTGCTTTTGCTCAAGCAATATGATCACTAGCATGGATAGTGCACTTAAGGACATTTGTTTAGAACTTAATTTAGGACTACATTGGATGAGCTAGCCTAAGGCATAGGAAACAACATAGGTGATATGAGTAATAGCTAGAATCTTGTTGTTTCATTCAGGAATGTGTTAAAATATATGTACCTATCTGAAACAGCTATTTATGACTTTGGAGTTATAGTTTACCAGTGTTTGGCTTGTTTCATCATGGGT